ACTTACGAACCCCTTTTCGTCTTCTATCCTCTCTGCCACTCCAAAGTCGAACAGCTTGAACACAACCTCATTGTTTGGCTCCGTCTTTCCCGCCACATTTCGTGCAAACAGGTCCTGGTGCACGTATCTCTTACTGTGGACACACTCTAGGGCCTCGAGCAAGTCATGGGCTATCGTTCTGAGCACAGCGATGCCGCCGTTCATGACACAGTCGCCAAATATTGGCACATCCAGGTACTCCGAGACATACCAGGTGTTTCCAACTGATTCACCGCTGTATGAGTCTCTGCGGAATGCACTGATTATGTTGGCTATGTATGGGGAATCAAAGTTGGTTATCAGCAGGTCGTTGATGTTGTAGTCTCTGCTGCCAGCCAGCTGCTTCAAGATGTAGAACTTAGTGTCGATCTTGATCTTGAACACAAAGAATCCCTTGAGATTTTCAATATGGAAGCGGCAGCCGGCATTTCTGTTTACCGAGTCTAAGATCAGCCCTGCCAGATCGTTGCTGCCAATGTTCAGAACATCCAGTATAAATGTGATCTGCTGCAGAACATCCTTGTTTCTGTCGGAAACAGAGTGGAGAGTCTCAACTGTATCCTTGCTTGTTTCGTAGTATTTGCTAGGTCTGGAGCTCTGAAGAATGGGCTGCGGCTCAGCGTCAGGGCCTGCATAATGCATCGACGGCTCATCTCCAGAAAATATCGGTATGCTGTGGATGTTTTCTATGAAGCTGAGTGTTTTCTGCTGGGATGTAAGTGTCTGCTGGTGCTGCACGAAGAGATAGACACACGACACTGACAGAATGAGCATTAGCAGACCCAAATACTTTCTTATGCTTTTGCTGATCATCAGTAACTACGGCTGATCCCAACGGAGAATGATTGATAAGGGGCACGCATGGCTATTGGCCGGAACAGGACTATGAAGTTTTTGCACTTGCCATATGTAGGCTTTTCACTGCAAGTTCGATTGAGGAGTGGCCATCTTCTGGTGCATGCATTTATTGGAACAAACATTTGCCTGGGCAGGCTGTGGATCTGATTGCTTATGGAGGGTGTATTTATTGTTTGTTTCTCACACCCATAGATGAAGCTAGGTTTGGTTGCGACTCTTTTCACAACTGCACTGGGCAGGCTGGTCCTGACACACTCTGAGATTGGTGCACACAGGCCACTCCACACCACCATGCACTCTCAGTTTTATGAGGTTAGCAGTAGAAGAGTAGACACAGTTCCTGTACTCACAGATCTTGTTCAGCATGTGCTTGAGAGGGATGAGCTTGTGTTTACAGTCGGTCGAAGAGAGTTTGCACTCCGGCCGCTGGAGTGTGTCAAGGTGAATGGAAGGACGGGCACGAGCAAGATTCTCGGCAGATTTGAGAGGATGAGCACGTCACAGAGCCAGTTGGTTCTGGTGTTCTCGGATGGGGGCACGGGACATGAGTGTATTGTGAAGATATCAGCGGGCGAGGAGCTCCCGGGCATTAACGAGTGTCGGTACAAGACCGTCCTGTATTTGAAGCTCAGGGATGCATTGCAATCCGAGACAGAGAGAGCCATTGTGGTGGTGTCGAGCCGGCCTACGGTAGGATCAAGACTTGCCGATTTGTCGAAGCAGGGGATAGAGTGTACAAATAAATGATATTTTTGTAGACAGAGAGTATGAACAGATGGTCTGAGCCAATTGGGGTTTGCATAGTTGGGTATTGACTGGAAGGCCTTATGCAATGTACTTATATGGATTGCCTCTGTTGTTTGCTCTCCTTCATGCCTCCAAGCCAGAGATCTCCTAATCCTTTGGGAGAAGCAGAGCATGCAGATGCCAGGTAGCTTTTACCCCGTGTTCACTAGAAAGAATGGGCCACGATGTGCTATTGGGGCCGTGACCTTCTGGACCGATGAGAGCAGCCAGAGGAGTAGATGAGGACAGCTAGATATATGTAGGGAATACCAGAAGGTGAAGAATAGGATCGATGGCAGGAATGTCCTTATGGCGTGGAGCCCGGATGAGTGCAGATAGGCCATTATCACTAATAGAGTACTACCAGCAATTAAATTGATTCAGACAGTACACAGTTTTTGAATTTCTGAAACAACAAATCTTGAGATATCATTTTATTATGTGATGAGCTGTGCACTAGGCTACACCATGCTAATCTATTCGCAAATTCACAAAACAGTCTGGAGTGGCATACTTGGCATCGGTCAATATGCTATTTTCAAAACGGGTTTTGGGTGGCAGGATTGAATCTCAAAGCTTTACCAACCAGTAGCAGTTGGATGCTGACAGCAATTATTGTGTTATTTTTAATTAAGCTTATACCCAATTTCCCTGTCAAAATTAACAATTTAATTAATTTAAAAATTTTTTAGCTCATACCCTAATGAATATTGCACGAACGAGAAAGGCATACGAAGCAATCTGGAGTCTACTTGTGCTCATGGGAGCTACACTCCAGAGCACGGACAATGGTGCAAACCCAGGTGGAATCTATAGCTTTGGAAATTATCCTGTGGATACGACTGAAATAGCTATATATTCCCAAGGCATTACATCTATTGACAGCAATATTAAGAGACTAGTGAAGCTAGAGAAACTGGATCTCAGTGTTAACAAGCTCAAGGCACTACCATCTGAGATAGGAGAGCTGAAGGATCTAAAGATGCTATATCTTAATGGTAATGAGCTCGGAACATTGCCACCCGAGATAAGAAGACTAGAAAAATTGCAATGCCTGTATCTTCGTAATAA